TGATTGAACAACTTCAGAATCGACATGCTAGAAGTACCATCCATGTTTAGCTACTTGTGTAAACACCATGTGACGTCACATCTTTATCTGCATGCGGATCACATCAGGGCTGTGGAGAGTTCACACTGGAGTCTGATGGAAGTTGCCTTTAAAATGTAACATTCATGCCAAAAAATCTGATTTATTTCAAAAAATTAGAATTGAACATTAAGCCCTGCAGATTCTAAAGATGTGGTGAGAGCAGCTGTGCGAGTGGGCCCAATTAGATTTTTCATCATGGGGCCCAAAATTGCATGCGGCACCCCTGCTTGTAAATGACCCTATAATTTAAATCCAAACCAAAACACTCAGATCTGGTGAATTCCTAATTTGTCTCCAGCAAACAAAGCCTTTAACTTTCTAGTTGTTGGATCCAGTCCAGCGTTGGTGACCTAACAACAGGCTGAGTCACTGTGGGACATCACTGGAGGTTGTTGTTCAGCAAAGATCTGCTTGAATTGTTTATTCAAGTTTGCAATAATTTTGGTTAAAAAATGTTATAATAAAGAAAGTGACAAATGGCAAGACAAACAATTTTTAAGAGAAATGTTTGTTTTTTTGAAAAGTCACAAAATGCAGCTGCGTAAAGAACCAAGAAAAAAAAGATTTTTAATACTTTGTTGTTTAACACAACCTCAAAAGCTCTAAAATTAAACTATAAACTAGAGTGATTTTAAGATAAACCAAGTCTCCGTGGTTAAGATACACTTTTTGATTCTGTCAATTGAAGGATTTGACAGACACAAATAATTAAACAGGCCACAGTTTTTGTAAGAATCAGATACGCTAATGCTTCAATGTGGCACAGTGATTGTCAGGTGAGTTCATTTATCGCTATGGTACATCATGGAAGCTATTTGGGCTGGCACTCCAGCTTCCCTGGGGCTGATCGGGCTCCCGGGGTCTGGCTCCTGGTTGCTGTGGTCGGCCCGCTGGCTGGGATGGCTGCCGGAGTCCGGGGGTTGGTCGGTTGGGGGTGGGCACCTGGCTGTTGGTAGGGTGTGGGGGTGGTTTGGGGCGTGGCTTTGGTGTGGTGGGGGGGCTGGTCGGTCGGACTGGTGCGGCCCGGGATGGGACTTGGCTATCTGCTCTTCTCCACCCCAGATTGAAGGGGTCTACCTCCTGAGTTCGGGTGTGAGCTGTCCTCTGCAGGGGGAGGGTGCATATCCTGGACCTGGGGGATATAGAGTATGTATGGGGAGTGTGAGTGGATTGTGGCGTCCATCTTGTGTGTCTTTGAATGAGTGGGTGAGAGGATGAGGGTGGGACTGTGTGATTGTGTCTATGTATGCTTGTACTTTTGTCAGGCTGGGACTGGGGTGGCCCCTTCTTCGGGATCATTTGAGGGCCCATTGCTCCCCTGCCGTGCTGCCCTCTGGTGGGTTGTGCCTTTGCCCGCTGGCGTGCTTGTGGCTCTCGTTGTCCGGGTGTGGGTGCTTGGGCGTATGCCGGCTCGGCCCGGTGGTTGCCCGGTGGAGCTTGGGTCCCTCTGGCCCTGTCGGGCCTTGGCCTGGGTGGGGGGGTACGCCCTGGGGGCCCGGGCCTCTGTGTCCATGCCTGGATCTGCTCTGGCGCCATGGGTATTGGTGGGGCCTGTGAGTTCATCGCTGCTGACCCCAGGGGTTTACTGTGTGTGGTCGCTGGTGGGGCTCTCCCGGTTCTCTCCTGTGGTCCCCTTTGGGGGGTGGGTGGGTGGCCCTTCCAGCGCGGGTGTGTCTGGGGCTGCGTGCTTGGGGTCCCTCTCAGGGTCTTTGGCGCTGGTCTCCCTTATGTTGGCTTCCGGCTTTGCGGGTCGGGTCTGTGGTCCTCCACAGTCACTTTGAAACATTCCATTGGAGATCTTGTATAAACATGCATGCTCACAACCGCACACAAACAGGTGTTTACATCTTGGGTTTTCTATTCGGACACTGACTGAATGGTATGTGCATACGTGCATGTATAGATATATGCACGTATGCACATACGTGTGCCATTTGACCTCCAAACATGATGTGTATTCTGGCATCCAAACAGTTCAATGTTGGTCTCATCTGACCAGACTATATTCTCCCAGTATTACATAGGCTTGTTTAAATGTTGTATAGCAAACTTTAAAGGAGCTTCAACATGCTGTTTCTTCTGCAGTGGAGTCTTGCGTGGTGAGCGTGCATACAGGCCATGGTGGTTCAGTGCATTACTTATTGTTTTCTTTGAAACAAACATACCTGCTAATTGCAGGTCTTTCTGAAGCTCTCCACAAGTGGTCCTTGGCTCTTGGACAACTCTTCTGATAATTCTTTTCACTCCTCTGTCAGAAATCATGCGAGGAGCACCTGGTCGTGGTTGGTTTATGGAGAAATGATGTTCTTTCCACTTCTGAATTATGGCCCCAACAGTGCTCACTGGAACCTTCAGAAGTTTAGACATTCTCCTGTAACCGATGCCATCATTATGCTTTGCAACAAAAGGTTGTGAAGGTCTTTACAGAGCTCTTTACTTTTACCCATCATCAGATGGTTCTTGTGTGATACCTGGCCATCATTTGGGACTGAACCAGCTGATATTAATTTGCACTGACAAGGGGCAGGCTTGCTTTCTAATTACTGAGAGAGTTCAGCTGGTGTCTTGGCTTTCTTGGCTTTTACATCTCCCTTTCTTCATGTGTTCAATACTTTTCCCCTGTGCCATTCCACATTATTACAAGTAACTTCATTTCTTGACATTTATGG